ATGGTGTAGGGATGGCATGCATACTTCTGCTTCCCTCCAACCCATGGCAGACATCACTAATCAAACCCAGATGCCATCTCAGTATTCTCCTCAACACAGGGCACCTGGGACCCACTGACAATCAGCCAGAAGCTGAAACCTATGTGCCATTTTGGGAAGAAAAAGCACAGCTTTGTGGTCAAGCCAATGTGGTTAGAATCATGGTTCCTGTGTAACATTAAGCAAGTCCAACACTCTCCTTTAATCTCAGCATCCCTCCACATCTGTATGAAGAATCTATTTTTACCTCCCTCACAAGTTTCCTGTGATAACTAAATAACATTAAATAGTACATGTCATGTGGCATGTCATAGATACTTAATACTCATTTTCTACCTCTTGTCTTCTAGTTTTAAATAGACTTTTTCTCTTACCCTCAGTTTTTACCACCTGTAAAATATTATTATGAATGCCATTCTCACGAGGTTATTTTAAGGATTCAACCTGTTGCCCTGGATCATATTAACGTAGGAGAGCTAAAGACTCTCTGTTGTCCTGACTCCCCCTCATAGTTTCTCTCCCCACAGCAAATCTACTGGCTCCCAGCTGAAGGTCCATCCTGCCTCAGTTTCCATCCTCTGGCCAGTTTTGAGAATTATTTGGAGAAGGGTCATGAGCTTCAAGCTAGCCCAAGTGCTAGACCTTGGTCCAGATTGTGTCCCTCAGTCCTCTCAGGCCCTTCAGTATGTCAGGGAATAAATGCCCCACTGCGTGTCCCTTTGGAAGGGAAGACAGCAGAAGAGGCCACCATGTCCTTTTCACCACTTTTCAGTTATTTCTTCCTCCCCTTTGGATCCCACTAGAGCCTGACCAAGGTGAATAAGGAGAGACTCTTAGGTGGCAGATGTAAGGAGGCCCTTACTCTTGGGGGCCGTGCAAGGGCCGACTGCTCAGTGAGAGTGAGGGCCTCCTAAAATGGAGTAGCTTCAGCTCCCTGCTTGCCACACCCTGGTCCTGGTCCTGGTCCTGGTCCTGGCATGTAGGGAAGGAATTTAGTAAAAGTATTATCTGCCAGAACGTTTGAGGGTATGGGCTTTGGAGTCAGGCCTTCTGTACTCAAATTCTGACACCTCCACTTGAGTTGAGGGATTTTGCATAACTTAACTATATATTTTTTTTCCTTATACGTAAATTGGAGATAATAATAGTACTGCCCTCATAGTGGTGCTGTGAGGATTAAATTAGGGGCTACATTGATGATAACCAAGAAAGCATTGGTAATCCTAAAAGCACAATTTTAATTAGACTGTGCAAAACTGGAAATAGTAGAGACCCTAGGAGAAGAGAAAGGGATCACATTCCCACTGGATATGTTTTTCCATTTTAAGTCTCCAAACTATTCTCTGTAGCGCTATGATCCCCACTTTACGTGTTAGGAACTTAAGGCCACAGAGAATAAAGAACTTGCCCCAGGATGCTCAGCTGGTGTGAAGAGGCTACAGTACTTGAACCCGTGTCCCCCAAACTCCAAATTCTTTGCTCTTCCCTTCCACCATGAAGCCATCTCTGATTTGAAATCCGTGGACTAGATTCACGGTTCCTTCAGCTGCCTGTTCATTAGAATCACTTGTGTGGCACCTTAAACACACACTTGACAGAGCTCCACTCTTGACTTAGAATCTTCTGGAAATCTGTATTTTTAATAAGAAGCCCTGGGATTAACACAAGTCGCCAGGTTTGGGCATCACAGGAGGCTGGGTGATCTCAAAGCTCACTTCCACCTCTAATTTTCTAAGTATAGCCTCATGAGAAAGTGACAGTGAAAGTAATTATCAAATTGCAAGAATAAAGTGCCTTGCTAAGAAAAGGCTGGCACTTTCTAAGGGACGTAAAATTAAAGCCCAATAGATTAAAATTCCTTTAAGAAATGAGTAATACAAAGATTAAGGCACATCTGATACAGCTTCTTGAAGGGCTGCTCAAAGATTTATAGGCAGAGTATAAATCAGCTCTGATGAGAGAAGGAAGAAAATGTGTCTTATCGCTCTCATCTTGCAGTGGAAGGTAAAGTATGCAGAAAAGGAGAGTTGGCAATCGTCAAGCAAGGCACCAGAAGCGCTTTTGCAAATATTTGCAACAAAGAGAAAGCAAATCCCCTTCAAGTGAGCAGGGAAGGTTTGGTTGTCAGTCAGGGGTCGAGTGACTTCATAAGTCAAATCCCTTTCTTGGGAGGTTTTTTTTGTTTTTTTTTTAATCACACACACAGAAAATGAGCAAAGGAACTTGGAGTAATTAGGAGGTAATGAAGTTGTCAGAATAAGCTATTGACTAAAGAGTAGACAAGGGAATAGATGAAAAATTTAAACATTTCTAATTTAGCTGATCTGGAAGCTGCACATCTTTTGTCCGTATGGGAATTATCCTTGGTGCCTAACGAATGAGCTTTCTGGGCAAAGCAGGGAGAATCCCAGAAGACAAAGGAAGAAGGAATTGGAATCAAAGTCCAAAATGGTAATAGTGACAGTAATAGAAATTATAATTAATCCCTTACATTTTTATTCAGCTTTGCAAAGCGCTTGAACATATATTACCTAGTTCAATTTGTGCAGAAACCTAAGAGGGAGGAAGAAATATCCATACATGTAAGTGTGGAAACTCAAGGTCAGAGAATACAATGCCTTGCCTAAGGGTCATCCAAATTACTCTTACTAGTACAGAGCTGAGGCTTGAATTCTGGTCCTTTCAGCCCAAAGCAAGTGTTCTTTCCATTACAGATTAAGCTGGGGGAAACCCTGAGGGCGATTGGAAATTGATAAGAAATTGATAAGCCAGTTTAACTCAATGTTTAGAGCTAAAACGGCCAGACTGTGCTCTATGCTTCCTTTCTTCCTGCATCCTTCCTTTCCTGCCAACTCGGTCCCTTCTTCCCTCTTATTGTTCAGGAGTTTGAACAGAAGGAAGTGCTTTCTCTGAGAAGAGCCTGGCTATCCTCTGTTCATTCTGGCTGGCATTGTTAGTGGGGGAAGGAGACTAAGAGAACAATCATTTGCTCAGTACAAGTCCTGGGCTTTACCTATAGGATCTCATTCGGTCTCAGAATCACTCTGCAAGGGAGGTATGCATATGCCTCCTGTTAGGGATGTGCAGACTAGCATCCTGAAACACTAGGCAACTGGCCCTAAGCCTGCTGCTGTGTGGTACAGCCCCACCCAATCTCTCCAATACCCAAACTCATCGTCCTTCACTATTATTTCCACCTGGCAGACCATCTAGGCTGAGGACATCAGACCACAAAGATGACTGTTTAGTCTGGAAAGCAAAGGCTGGGAGGGAATACGGTTCAGTTTGCAGTCAGTGTCAGTCGAGCCCCCAGCCAGCGCCCAGCACTGATCTGCCAGCCACACGAATGAGCTGTCTCAGAAGTGGATCCTCCAGCCCCAGGGAGCTGTTCTCTGGAGGTTTTCTGGAGCAGAAATAAACAGTGCTGGTTGAGCTCTGCCCCAAACTGTAGGAAAATAAGCAAGTAAAATGGCTGTGTCTTAAGCCACAGAATTTTGGTGTAGTTTGTTACACAGCAAGCGATCCCTGGGATACCCGTTCTATACTCTTCAGAGGAGGGCTTATCTCTGCAGGTGATATTTTCCAGGAAGAGTTTGGCCACTGACAGGAGAATGAAGGGTGGAAGGAAGGGGGAAGCCTCAAGCGGGTTCTCTGGCAGAGGCTGCATCTCCTCTGTCCTTCTAGCTCTTCCTAGAAGGATCTTCTGTGCTTCAAGTTTCGCCAGGTGAACCCTGTCCCCATGCTGCCTTCCACTGCCTCTTGCCTCTATCCCTCCAGGCTAGGGCTGGGAGTGTCTTCTGTTACTGCTCATCACCGTCCCTGTTTTTCCCAATTTTCCCTTCGGTTATGCAATTAATGTCCCACATTAAATTCCCACTGTGGAAAATAAATGAGTAATTTCTGTTTTATTGGTTAGATTCTGCTGATGGGTATAGCACAAGTTACAATAAATAGTCCAACCCAGTTCTTTCCCACATGTTCATTCTTTTCCATGTCCTCGAGCCCCCATCGGAATATAAACACACCCTTACCCCTGGTCACTGGCCCCTTCTGGCCTCTCTGATACATCTCTGGCACTCTCTCCTCAACTCTCCACTTTGCCTTAGGACTTTTACACTGGCTGTTCTCTCTGGATGCTCCTCCCTCAGAAGTGTGCAAGGTTCACTCTCTTATCTCCTCCAATCCTCTGCTCAGGTATCACCTTCTCAGTGAGGCTGGCCTCAATCCTTACTTAAAGTGACACCCATGCATCTCCCCCCCCTGCATTCCCCGCCCCCCTTATCCTGTTTCTTTTTTCTTTTTTCCCCCCATAGCACTTATCATCTTTGAACATGCTATATAATTTTCTTGTTTATCACATTTATTATCCATTGTCTCCTCTTTCTACATCAAGTTACATGAAGTCAGAATCTCCCTTGTCTCTGGTCACTGATTTATCCCAAGTGCCTCGAACACAGCTGGCACATGCTGGGAAATATCTGCTGAATAAGTAGGTGACAATTTTATGCAGAATCTCAGTGTCCAAAGCAGAGAAAAGCTGAACCTCTCTGGCTGAAACAGAGGAAACGGGCTAAGACCCCAGGCTACTCATAGCCCACCTCTTTCTCTGCAACGTTCTCTTTAGGATAAAACAAACCCTGCAGTGTAAAACCCACAGCGGCAGGGGACTCTGAGAGCCCAGATTATTTGTTCATATGTACCTAGTTGGGCTTATAACTTGTGATCCATTTACTACAGTTTGTTTCACAAACAGTTTCTTGAGTTTTAACAGGAGATACCCCCAAGACAGTTTGGTGGGCAAATAAAAACATACAGACAAACAGATTTCTTTCCTGCAGTATTTCTCAGCGCCTTTTTTTTTTTTTGCAGTACGCGGGCCTCTCCTGTTGCAGAGCACAGGCTCCGGACGCGCAGGCTTAGCGGCCATGGCTCACGGGCCCAGCTGCTTCGCGGCACGTGGGATCTTCCCAGACCGGGGCACGAACCCGTGTCCCCTGCATCGGCAGGCGGACTCTCAACCACCGCGCCACCAGGGAAGCCCATCTCAGCGCCTTTTAATACACTCCTGAGTGTGGTGAGTTTCCAGGAGGGACTTAGAATATTTCCCCAAATTTTGTGACCACAGGACCCTCTCTCTATGGACTATCTGGTAAGAAATGCTTTGGGAAATGCAGATCTTCTGGCTGATCTCAGTCTCCAACCTGTTACTATGATAATTTGAATCATCATAAATATTTAATTCATAACACTTATCTCAATGGCTAACATGGTTAGTAACTCCACATTAATATCACACCTATGAGCATAATTATTAACTATTAATTCTAGAACAATTAACTGTAGCCTCAGTTCACGTTAAGTGCACTTCAGTCCTGAGAAGAGGTGAGGATGGTGTATGGATGGGTTTAGGACTCGGATGGGGTTCAGACAACCTGGACCGGCTCCTGGCTTTACTGCACATGTGTGACTTGGGACAAGTAACAAAACTCCTGGGCCCCAGTTTCTTCTTCCTTAACTGAGCTGTTTTGATTCAGTTGGGATGTTTAAGCTAATAAGGTCCCTCAGATGTGTGGCAATGAGGGAAGGAAGCTTGTGGTTCCCATCCCTATAGCCCCAGTAGCTCAGTTGGGATGTTTAAGCTAATAAGGTCCCTTAGATGTGTGGCAATGAGGGAAGGAAGCTTGTGGTCCCCATCCCTATAGCCCCAGTAGCTCTGCTGCCTTTAAGTGGCTGATGGCAGCTGACAGGCATTGTTCACTCAACATCTGCCGGGCACTGTCCTAATGCTCCCTGTCGCAATGCCCACAAAACCCAGTGGCAAACGCTCCACATAAATCAGAGTAATGAGGTGGAGACTGACTGGGGTACTTTTCTATGAAGTCTCTAGCTTCACTGTCCTCTATTAGCAACACCCCTATACACACAGACACACCAAATGTGTTCACATGTGCGTGCAGGTGCGTGTGCGTGTGCCTGTGCCCGGGTGTGTCAGGGCTGAAGAACAATACATTACAAGAGCTTAAATGAATGTCAGAGACCAGGCAGCAAGCAGAAGTTTAGAGAAAGGAGAGGTGACCTTCTCAAGGACGGTTGTCAGGTCAGCAGCTTGAAGGCGTCCTCAGCCAGAGGATTTCCATCTACAATGAGAAGCAGGTTCCCAAAGGTTGAGAGTGAGTCAACAGCTGAGAGGTAGAATGTCAGCTGGGTCTGATTGGTTGTTTAGAGTCAGACTGGAAAAGCGGCAAGAGCATGTCCTTCTCCAGACGCTGGCGGGAGTCGCTGAGAAATCAGATGCTGCTTCAGTGTCCTCGCACTCTCCGTCTGGTCCTTCCACAGCGATAATAGCTGAGCCCATCTCTCAGCAGAGGAGAAGCTGAGCACTTGGACTGAAGCCATTCAATATGTCTGAGTCTTGGAACCTCTCTGAACCCTGTATCAAACACATCTAGAGATAAGAGCCCCAAAATATAGACTTGCACTCATCTGGAGATTATAAAGCATGCTTCCAAAACTATTAAATCTAACGATAATAGATGAAATGGCTTCAAATAGAGACTTGTCCAAATTCCCTTTTCAAAAACGTAGTGAGGTTCTGGCCAAGCAAGATGGTAACCGAGGATGGAGATAGGGTAATCTGTCTTCCCTGAGTTCCGGGACTTGAGGGGAGATTCTGAGCCAAAATCCCTAAAATGTGCCCTAGGTCAAAGGCAAGGACGTCAATTTCAGTGTCACAGGTACGCATAGGGTCACAAATCTGAACCCCACGCCAAATATGAGTGGGAACAATAGTACAAACTACTCGAGGAGGTTCTTAGGTAAGACCTGGCCCTTCCACTAATTTCCCACATGACCTTTCACATGTGGGACGCTGAGCTTTCCATAAAATGGGCTTCAGTTTGCCCAACTGTAGAGTTGGTACAAGACAAAATACGGTAGATGCGTAGCGTGGATTCCTACACTTGTCATCTTGTTGCAAAGACAGACATTGTCATTCAATCAGAGCACTCTTTTCACCAAGTCCAGTTGGTGCTTTCTCAATGCTGTGCTCCAAGGAACCACACCTGAGATGACCTGGGCATCCCTGAATTAGAAATACCCAAAATTCCTTCCAGTGCAAACAAGCTTCTTAATTCTATGAAAAATAGGCTTCTTTGTGTTAGAGCACTTTGGTCACTGAATTTTCCTCTCACTATATTAACGGCACCTTCATACGCTTCCTTCGACCTTATGATTGATGCCCCAAATGTCCTCACCATGAGCCATCTACCTTAAGGTATCTGCACCTGAAGGTCGCCTGTAACCCGAAGCCCTCAATGCCCAGAGCAATCTTCCTGATGAAGCATACAGTGTGAAGACAGAGTCATAGGTGCTGACAGGCATCTTAATGACTAAACCTTGGGCACTTTTACAACCAAACACATTTTTAATTGGACTTCCTTGGAGACCGCCTCTTATGTAATGTCTTGAGGAATGTTCTTCCCTGGCATCCTTGTGTGAGGGGCACTTCACAACTTCCGGTGCTAATTATCCTCTGGAGAAAAGGGGAGAGACCCTGGCCAGCAGCTGGTTCCATAATCTAGGTCAACTCTCTGGAGTTGGTCTTTTGTTATTTCAATTTCCTCAAGCTCATTATCAGAAGGAACCTATAAACTCTTGATTAACTGGGCCCTAACCGAACAGAACACTGGATTTCCAGTAAATTTTCAGAGGCCCTCCTCTCTAAGAGCAAGAGGTAAATGAGAGCCATACAAGTCAATATGAAGGAACCCAGAACAACAAAAGACGCTAGGAAAAAAGCATGTTCGACTTTGTGGCACGTGTTGTATTATCACGTCATTTTTTGTTTTGTTTGTTTTAGTAACTTAAAACATCAGCCATGTTTTTGCCCATGCCAAAAATGGGCAGGAGTTCAGGCCAGGTTTAGCAAAGATGGTTCATCTCTGTCTCACATGGTGTCGGCTGGGCAGCTTGATGGGCTAGAGCATCCAAGATGGCCTCACACACATGTCTGGGCCTTTGGTGCTGGCTATGAGCTGGGAGCCTTGCTTCATCTCTGCCAGGCATCTCTTTCTCACCAGATGGTCTCTCATCAACCAGGAATCCAGACCGAGCTTTTTACATGGAAGCCGGCTTCTAAGAATGCACATTACTTTTAGTTTGCATTTATACTCTCCAGGAAACAGCAGTCTGAGGACCACCAAGAAATTGTGGGCACCAACAATAGTGTTACATAGAAAGAATCTTTGGTTCTTACACCTACCGTTGGGATCTGATGACTCTCAACTCTCAGGCTTCTTCTGCCTCAGAGATTCAAAGTAACTAGGATGCTTAGACTGGGAAACCATTGCGTAACCTTCATTAATTTGCTTTCTTTGGTATATTTTTATTTTTTATTTATGTATATTTTTTTTGTAGCACCGTGCAGCATGCGGGATCTCAGTTTCCCGACCGGGGATCGAACCTGTGCCCCCTGCAATGAGAGCGCAGAGTCGTAGCCACTGGACTGCCAGGCAAATCCCACGGTTTTTTTGGTATATCTTTAGAGTAGAAGTCTCAGTGTTTCACTGCGAGATTTCTCCAAACTTCTCCTCACTACATAGCATTATGGAGTGTAAACCGTAAGTTTAAGGATGAAGCCCATCCTTCAAGTCCACTGGCCACATACTGTCTCTGAGTTTATCTCATTACCCACCTGGCTGCAGACTTCAACAGCTGTTCAGTTCCCCCTAAAGAATCCACTTATACCAAAGCACAAGTGAGCAATGTGGACTCACTGACAACTATGGAATGGAGAAAATTTACATAGCACAACCCTCAGCAAAATTAAGAGAATATATGTGTCCCCTGTTAGATGTTTGTCTTTCCCAAATTCCCTTGTCTACAGGATCCCTGGGAGTTCTTTCCCTTTCCTATTTCTTCCCACTATACCCAGGTTCCCTGGATCCTCTCTCTTCTCTGCCGAATGTTGCCAGGTCCTCCAAATTCATCTTGCCTCTGTCATCCAGAACAATCAGAACAATGCAGCTCCTTCCTCCTAAATCCTTTACCTTTCTCAGTAAAACTTTTTTTTTTCTGTTTCGAGAGCTAAGCTCATAAAAACCACGGGTAGAAAAGTGAAGAACATTCTGACCCAAGTGTACCCACCTATCCCACCCTCAGTACCAACACCATCATCACGACCAACACAACAATGTGATGTGACAGTAGAAGCCAGTTCAGTGGGCCAGGTCTGTTAACTTATTCATTTACACAACAAGCATTTTTTAAATAAATAAATTTATTTATTTATTTATTTATTTATGGCTGCATTGGGTCTTCGTTGCTGTGCACAGGGGCTTCTCACTGCGGTGGCTTCTCTTGTTGCAGAGCATGGGATCTAGGCATGTGGACTTCAGTAGTTGTGGCACACAGTCTCAGTAGTTGTGGCACATGGGCTTGGTTGCTCCACGGCATGTGGGATCTTCCCGGACCAGGGCTCGAACCTGTATCCCCTGCATTGACAGGCGGATTCTTAACCGCTGTGCCACCAGGGAAGTCCCACAACAATTTTGAGAGCCCTACTGTGTTCCAGACACTGTGCTGGTCACACGTGCAAGAGTGAACAGCATATGTCTACATGCATCTCACATTCTAGTGCAGGGAACCAGACAATTTAAAAGCATACACATTTGGGACTTCCCTGGAGGTCCAGTGGTTAAGACACCAGGCTTCCACTGCAGGAGCCTTGGGTTCGATCCCTGGTCAGGGAAGTAAAGATCCCGCATGCTGTGTGGTGGGACCAAAATAAATAAATAAAAGCAACCATATTAGTAGAAGAACGCATAGATAGACTGAAGGGACAGGAAAGAAGCGGAGCGTTGTGATAGGAAACATGAGAAACTTTCTTCATCGAGGTAGTTAAGAAGAGTCTCAGGAGGATGGGGCATTTGGGCTGAGATCAGAAGGGTGAAAAGGAGTATTCCTTCTCTTGCCAAACTCTTGCCGACATCCTATTACCTTCTTGCTCTCAATGGATAAATCCCAAGGAATGTTCAAAAATAGACATCAACCTGAAAGACTTTAGGCTGGAGAAGA